AGACAGACAGACAGACAGACAGGCTCCCCTCTGCATCACCGTGGAGACCCCAGCCCCCCAAAATCCATCCCTGACCCTGACCCTGACCCTGACCCTGACCCTGACCCTAACCCTGACCCTGACCCTATTTGCATAACAATAGGGGACACGCCCACCCCGGGCCGAGGCCCGAGCCCCGAGCCCTGAGCCCCGGGGTGGGGGAGGGGACAGGGGGGGAGAGAGAGAGAGAGAGAGAGAAAGAGACAGACAGACAGACAGACAGGCTCCTCTGCATCACCGTGGAGACCCCAGCCCCCCAAAATCCATCCCTGACCCTGACCCTGACCCTGACCCTGACCCCGACCCCGACCCCGACCCCGACCCCGACCCTAACCCCTAACCCCTGACCCTGACCCTGACCCTGACCCTAACCCTGACCCTAACCCTAAGAATATTGCACTTTATATGTCTGTAGAATCTAGTTTATATTTCATCATGTTGCTAGCCTTACAACTCGTCAAATTATATCACTTACAGATAACTTTTTAGTGCTTGTATTCATAAGATATTAAATTCTCAAAATTAATTTTTCTTTTATATTCACGAGTTTGTTTTCTCATGTAGAATTCTCTCCCAATTTTATGGCTCTTTAGCATAACTGTAGTGTTTTCATAACAATGTCAATAGTAACAAATTGCTACACATGGGAGGAGAAATATGGACATAAAATATCCTTGGAGAGAAAATCCCATGTGTGTTGATTTTTCAAGAGACCTAGGGAAATCTGAGAACATAGCCTTTAAATTTCTGTCTGCAGCAGCCAAGATTTGCTGTGCTTTAGTATTATGTTTGGAAAGAAGTTGGCAATTATTCAGGTTTATGTAGGAGACTGAGCAACAATAAATCTTTGTGATTATTTCATTCAAGGAGACAATAACTACATCTGATCGTTGAATTTTAGATAGCTCTTTGAAGTAGAAATATTATATCTTTTTTAAGATATGTAAAGAAGTAAGTACAGGACAAGTTGTCACTTATTGCAGAGAAAATTATATTGGAGAAATGTTTTATATTGAAAGAGGTTATCACAGGAAAGGTGAGTTACAGAAACTTTGGGGACTTCTTGAATGGAGATTGTAGCATCAAAGGATGGAATAATGCTCTTGGTATAAGCCACACATAAGAAAATATTCTAATTTCATGAACTCTTTATTCATTCATTGTGTGAGAATTTCATGATAGACTTTCTGTGTCATAGATTTATACTGGAATTACTCATCTGAGTGTGTGTGACTGCTCAGTGGAAATGGTAATAGTATGCATACAAGCTTCACAGATAAGAGATAAAATAGGAATATGAGGGAGAGGAAAATAATTAATAATTTGTGAGGACATACCAAGTCCATATCATTAAAACAGAATGGTACATTTCCAGTGTTGATAATATATCAGATTGCATTTAGGGATAATTATACAGTTTTCCAGTAGAATTATTTTTAGTAAAAAGCAACAATTCTATAAATAAAATAATTTGTGAGGTTGATAAAAATATTTATTTCCATAATCTCAAAAATGTAGATGCAAAATTTCTGGTTATATAAAATAGGCAAAATGCCCTTTATTATAAAAATTTCTATTGCATAAATGTCTTCCCTTTTCATGCCTGCAGAATGCAGCTCTTAGATTCCTATGTGGATTTACCAATTCACACATATTTTACATAGTTTCTACTGCTAATTTATCATTTATAATAATTAGTAACATTGAAAGCAAGTTATGACCAAAAATATATTTCTGGAAAAAAATATATATAATTATTTTAAACTAAAATAATGCACTGCTCACAGGCTATATTGCTATATGCTCTCATAAAACTGAGGAAATAATCTCTGAGTTTAGCACAACATTCAACTCGAAATTATGGATATATGGTAGATTAGTATGCTTACAGAAACTAATTTGATTCTTGGAGACTGTTCTCAGAGTTGGTAAACATTGGACAAATAATACAAAAGACATCAGATAATTTAGTAAATATAAAATGAGCAGCTAAATTGTGATAGGTATTGTTGAAGATGTCATGGATATAATATTACATACAATAAAACAATGGAGATAAGTGCTACTGATAACAAAACAGGAAAGTTGTGTGTCTGTGTGTGTGTGTGTGTGTGTGTGTGTGTGTGTGATTTTATATGAAGCACATACAATCCAGAGACAAGACTGAGGGGAAGTGTGCTAATTAATCATGTGGATTTATCAAATGTGAGTGTGTCACTCAAGTGTGGAGTTGTGCTCAGGCTTTGATCTAGGAGCATGATCACTGGGTTCTATGACCATCACAGAGGTCAGAGTGAGCATGTCATCCAAGAGGATGGAAGGGGAGATGCAGAAGGAACAATTAGGTCATGTGAGAATTTGTAGATCACTGTGTTACCTTGAACTTTAAATACCATGAGAGTCTTTTGAGAGCTGAGAGCATGAGATTTACAGCTAACAGACTAATCCAGATGCTGTCTCAAGAATGGCTCATTAGACAACTGTGGAAATATGAACATTGCCATATTTTAAAATAAGTCATGATAGGGCTTGTTCAAGCCTAGCAGCATGAGGTTATATTCAGATTTTGTATGACTTTCTTGTAGAAAGTGCCTTTTCTCTGTTTCTGATTTATGCATAATATACTGCCATACTTTTTAAACCCTAATTCATTTTGTGGGTTGACAATTTATCAGTTAACTAGTGTTCATTAATCTTAATAAAAGTAAACTTATTCTGCTTTTTTTCTTGTTTTTCCAGTGCTTTGGATCCGAATCAAGGTCTTAAACATGTTAGGCGAGTGCTTAACCTCTAAGTCACATCCTAGCCCTTTGCTGCTCAGAATTATTGTTCATATTGTAACTCACAACTAGGCCTCTCCAAATAAAAAAACTTGTTTTACCTCATTAAGTGTGTAAAATTAAAAATTCAGAAAATAATAACACATGGCAATTGTCACATTTTCCCCAAAGTGATGGAGAATATCACCACAGTGACTGAGTTTCTTCTACTTGGTCTGACCAGTGATCAGAGGCTGCAGCCCAGCTTTTTTGTGCTGTTTTTAATTATTTACCTGATTAGCCTGGTTGGAAATGGAATTATATTAGGCATCATTATATTGGAACCAAAACTCCATTCCCCTATGTATTTTTTTCTGGGAAATCTGTCTTGTCTGGATATTTGCTATTCTTCTGTGACACTTCCCAAAGTACTTACAAACCTCTTGTCCATTTGTAGGACAATATCTTTCCTGGGCTGCATCACTCAGCTACACTTTTTCCACTTTTTGGGATGCACTGAGGCTGTTTTGCTGGCCATCATGGCATTTGATCGCTTTGTGGCCATCTGCAACCCACTTCGCTACTCTGTCATCATGAGCCCCTTGCTGTGTGCTATGGTGGCAGCTGTGGCCTGGATCATCGGCTTCTTCTATGCTCTGATGCATTCTGTTACGACAGCTCACTTAAGATTTTGCCACTCTCAGAACCTCAATCACTTTTTTTGTGATGTCAAACCCCTCTTGGAGTTGGCATGTGGCAACACACTACTCAACCAGTGGCTTCTTTCCATTGTCACAGGAAGCCTGTCCATGGGTCCGTTCTTGATCACCCTTCTGTCCTACTTCTACATTCTTGGCTTCCTTCTCTTCAAATACCATTCCCTCAGAGTGCTCCGCAAGGCACTATCCACTTGTGCCTCCCATTTCATGGTAATGTGCCTTTTCTATGGCCCTGTGGGGTTTACCTACATTCGTCCTGCCTCAGCTACCTCCATGCATGAGGACCGGGTGGTGGCCGTCATATACAGTGCCATCACCCCAGTGCTGAACCCCCTGATATACACTCTCAGGAATAAGCAGGTGATGCTGGCTATCAGGAAAATCTTGCAGAGGAAGATGTATAAAGACTGATAGTAGCACTGACAGGACTGATGAGACCTATGTGTGATTTACATTGAGATTTTCATCACATCACTTGTAGCAATTGATTAATTTACTTGATTTTTTTATTTCTCTTGGAAGTTTTGAATGAATTCAACAATACATGAATAAGCATAAATAATTTGTTATTTATTGAGGTGTGCAGGTCCAGTACTGAGGAGAGATGATAGGCCTGTAAGCTTGGCAGCTCTATGGTGAACAAAATGGCTTGGCTAATTGTACTAGCCCCAATAAATGTCTTCAAGTCAAAAGAGCTTTTTTTCCTCCAAAAGATGTTCCCTTTCGCATGGTATCCTAGAGATGGAGAAGAAATCCAATTTGGCACCTACCATATTGAAGGGCTTTTAATCAGTAACCACTTTGGAAAAGGTTTAAGGATCAGCCATATCACTACTACATAACAACCTCCCTTCTGGATTTCAGTTGCTACCTTCCCATAGTGACTGGCTGAAAGACATCCAGAAGACAATAACGGAGAAAGTACAGACTACACAGATACACAAAGATCAGGCTCAGGCCAAGAATGACACAGGGTATCAAACTTCATGAGAAGTCAGGCCTGCGGTGTGTGGCTTTCAGAAGTTTCTGGATCCATAGAGTTGACATTATCTCCAGTGAGTTGCTTGCTGTATCCCCACCTGCATCCAGAACAGATATAAGTTTTATGATTGCCTTACTTGCCTACCAAACGTGAGCAAAGAGATACCTTAGTTTGGATGACTAGGACAGCTTAGAGTGGACAGAGAGGACTCTGGAACATAAGCACCTCACAAATCCACAGGGTGAGAAACTAGGTGGACAAAGTTGAGATTTGCCGAACTCCAAGTCTGGAGATCCTGGAAAGATAGTGTTCATTCAAAAATACAAAGGACAACTTTTAAATTTATTCTTTTTTCCATTGGTTTTCTTGAGTTTGTGTTTTTTCTTATTTTCCTCCTTTCCTCTTTTCTTTGTCTTGTATACATTTTATTAATTTTGTGCAATTCTGTTAGTTTTATTTTATTCCTTAATAAATTTTCTATCTCCTTCTTCTCATCTCAGACTGTTTAGTTTGTCAATTATTACTTTCTTCATTTTCTCATCCTCCATCTTCTCTATCTTTACCAGTATAAAATTTAGGCTTCATTAATCTTCAGATAGCTAAATATAAAACTGTTGAATTATTTCAATTATTAGTAGAGGCACAATTGTTAGGTATTGTTGATACTTGCTGTATTTTACTATTTGTTTTGCTTTACTATTTATACTATGAAGTAGGTTCCTTTTCAATATATAAGGTTTAACAGAACATGATCCTCCTCAGCCAGTAAACTTCAGTTGCTTCGTTTTCAAGGTAATAGTTCCTGTTCCAGTTCCAGTTGCTTCTCTCTCTTATAAATATCTGGTCACTGTGATGCATAAATAATTACTATGAAGCATATGGTATATATCAATCCCAAACTGACAAGACATTCTGCCTCTATGCTTCGTGCTTGCTTATCCCATATAAGCCCTAGACCACTAGCGATTAGGGCTTGTTATTCTGTGAATGATGCTAATTGAATCTGTTGACATAAGTAAATATGCACCATAATCTTGGGAATTATTTTTGTGTTGCTACCTGCCATTGCATCTGATTCATTGTCCAGGAAAACTGACTTGCTGACCAGTAATGGCCCTTACAGACAGAGCAAGGACCTTCCTGGGTACTAATGGTAATGCATACTCTTGAGATTTCTCAATTCTCCTCAGAAGTCTAGATGAAGATTCCTATATAACCACATGAGTGGCTCATATCATATCCAAAATAGAGGAGGAGACAGAAGTACAGTCAATCAGTCATTCAGTCAGTCATTCAGTCAGTCTGTCTGTCTATTTGCCTGCCTGATTTAAGTAAGTCCCTCAGGGACAACCCCATCCCAAGTAGTCTGTCTGTCAATTCTGTACAACTCAAGAAGCAAAAGAGCCTTATCAATGCTTGTTAAATAAACCCACCTTCAATGGAAAGGGGTTAGGAATGTTTAACTTCTGAGGGTCTGCAGAATGAATGAGGGAATGACAGTGTCATCATAGGCTGCTCTGTCTGTTCATGAAGACTGGAAAGCCTTTCCAAACATCTATTCACCCAAAGAAACCTAGTTGAGTACTTCTCAAAGACATCAAAAGGTGGAGGGGAATTTCAGTTTACTTTTCTCTCAGTGCTGGGACAAAATGCCTAAAACCTAACAAAGGAAGGAAAGGTTAGTGGAGGTTTCAGTCCATACTCAGCTGGCTCCAAGGCAGAGTTGCACATGGAATAAGGCAGTCATTCATAGTGGCAGAAAAAAGCACAACAGCAAGAGCAAAAGGGAGGCCTACTGACACAATGGCAGAGGCAGAGGCAAAGAGAAAGCCTCCCTCCCTTACTTGAATTGCATTCAGGCTATCTTCCCCAGGCTGGGTGTAACTCACACTCAAAATCCCAGCAGCACTCACACGCATAACCCCTGTATTGGATCTTGAATCCATAACAAGCTCTAGAATCCTACACAGTGACTATATGATGCTTTAGTAGGACACTTACATATAAATCATAACAAGGGGCAAAACCAATTAAGTGCTGTTACCCAGAAACCTGACAAAAAAGGCAACTGATGTCTGTAAGAAAATCCACCAGAATCTTTTCTCCAAATTTTCTCTGTCTCTTCCAACTCCATCATGGTCCCCCAAGCAAACAGTATAGACTGTCATCCTGCTAAAAAATGAAGATCTCCCAGCTGGGACTGGGGATAGTGCTCAGTGCCACAAGCAAAACTTCCTGGCAAGTGCAAAATCCTGAGTTCAATTCACAGCATCAAAAAATATCCAACCTGCTAATGCCTCTACAATTGCCATCATTTATGTTGCCTCAGTATTCTGCCACCCATAGCATACTGGTACAATTGCCTGGACCTAAATATTGCATTCTTCTGTATTCATTTGGCACCTTTTAGCCAGACCCTCCTTACAACTGACATGACATCAATATTCCAGAGGTTTAAAAATTTGTTCAGTTTTTTAGTTTAGTATTATTTTGTTATAGAGGAAAAATGTCCTAAAGTATTTGTTAAATAACATAATTCTTGATAACATCATTCTTCAGGATTCCTGAGACTCACCATCTGCTCAGACATTGTGAGCTACCCCTTACCCTTGTAATCAGTTACCTAAACCAAAGGACAATCCCAAAGTGTTTCTGAATGGCTTCAAATTTTTGCATAGATGTCCACATTTAGTCCAAAGGTAGACAATAAACAAATTGGAAAGTGAATAACAAGATAGCTTATTGCAATAGAGAGTTTTAATAATTTGTATTTCTACAAATAAAGTATGTGTCTTGATTATACCATTCTTTCAATTTAATTTTCAAGTTAGTTGATTCTGTGTGATCATGATCCTCTCAAGATTTGCCTAAAAGCATATCCAGTTTCTTCATTTCAAACTGATGTAGAAAATGAAGTGATATTCAGGTGCTATTCTGTCTTAAAAAGCTTCCAAATCTTCCTGGAAAGCTCAACTCAAGTGGCTAAAGTACACAGATAAGGTTTATAGTTCTCAAGTGTGTGAGTCAAATTCTTATTGAAGATATGTGATGGTCACTGCTCTGATCACAGCAGTCATATGGTTACAGCTACAGAACAGAGGTCGATCTTTGACATGAGGACAGAATCCTTTCTGATGACAGGAAGAAATCTCTAGTTCATGGTCAGTTAATTTGAAGAATCCAGTTTCCTGGAACTTGGGGGAGAAGATGATGGCAGTTGACTCTGGCAACACTATCTGGTAGTAGCAGTGAGTGTGTACATCAACACAAGAAAGAAAGGTAGTCTGTGCGGGATGCATAGGAACCTACCCTAGTGTGATGAGGCCCTGTTGATCCCATATGAGAAAGAGTTTTTCATTCTCTGTGTTGCAATAATCAGACCCAGCATTTTGCTTGGGGGTGAGCATGTGGGTAATGGTACATTCATTCCTCATCAGTTTTCCACAGAGAATTCCACAGTTTTCTCCTCCTGGGGCAGTGATGGCACTAGCTAACTGAAGAAATTGTGAGCCCAGCCTTACAGGCACCACCACATGATGCAACCCATCAATTGTAGAAGTACTTTCCAAGTTGCTCAGCACTCCAAGTTTCAAGCACCTGTCCGCTACTGGTGGCTTGGATGGACTTAGGTTTGAATTATAGTCTGCAGGCTGTGTGAATGAGGCAACACATCTAAAGAGGGTTTTTACAAGTCGGGTACTAGTGGACATCCTTGGCAAGGGTCCACCTTCCAAAACTCCTGTACAATTTTTAGTCGCTCCTTTCCCAGTTCCTTGTTCCAGATCATCTCCTCAAAGGCATGAAACTGTTCCTGTTCCAACTGTTGCTGCTTTTGTAAGGCTACTCTGTTTTTGCTTTCCCAGCTCTTTCCAGATGGTCATGTTCTGGGAAAATTCCTCTGCCTCCTTCCTCTTTTCTTCAGTATGTTGTTTTAACAACTCTGCCTTCAACTCTTTTGCTTTTGGAAATGCAGTTTCCTTTAACTTCGTTACTCTATCTTTTTTTTCTGGAATGACAACCAATTTGTAGTCTTAATGATTTGGCAGTTTCTCAACAAAGAGTGTGATATACTTGTTATAAAGGATGAAAGTATGTTCAATGTTGCCTTCTTCAGAGTAAATGTATGCCATTTGAATAATTTCAACTACAGAGCGGAAATACCGATGGGGTGGAATGTCTTTGTTCACCTCCACTGCACTGCACAGCTGTGAGAGAGCCATCACCCGGTCTTCTGGTGGGAGGCTCACATCTCCATGGTCAGATATCAGGACCCAGAAGTTCTTTCTTCACAGCTGACACGTGGAGCTCTGTTTAAAAGTACTTCTCATTAATGATACTTCCAATCTGCCTGCTGGAAAGGCACAAAATTTCTGCTGCAATAGTTGGTATAAATGGTTATGAGAAAGAAACTCCACAAATTTCTTAGAGC